ATAATGATAATGGGCTTTATTTTGACAATCCATGCGCAATGTGCAAAGCGCAGGGCGCAAAAGCAATAAGGGCATGTCGGAATCCACTTTTGTTATTTTAGTGTCAGAAAAATCCGCTTTGCATCGTTGCGCATCTGTGGTCTAACAGGGTTGAGCTTATTTTCTTAATGAGTTATAGGTGTGTTTTGAGATTAAACCAATCAGAGTCTCATCTCCCATTCCCATTAAGAGTCAGTTGTGTCGCGCCATAGCGCATTTGCTATTTACATGACAGACTTCATAAGTGGAAAAATTGAGTGTTTCACTAGCAAGAAAACAGTTAAACAGAGCATCTACTGCGCGAGAATGAGAGGTGAGCCTCCTCATTATTTACTTTCACTTTCACTCTCGTGGATAGGGAAACTTCTTGTACGCACAGACATTCATTTGCCTATAAATAGTTAATTTAGTTTAAGCGCAAATATTTATTTCAAAACTATTTCTAAATTCAGTTCAAATTTCTAACAAACAAATAAATGAACAGTAACAATAAGTGTGTTAACAATAAGTTATATCCCAATACACATGCTGCGCCCCATATGGTCTAAAAACTGCAGGTGGGTAAATTTGAGCTTGTTTTTAATAAAACAAATATAAATATGCATATAATAAATAATACTGCTGATAATAATAACATTATACAGAATTAAATTGTTATGAATAAACTGAAAAGCGCCCCGAGATAAAGAAGGCATGAAAGTATGGTTTTTATATTTATGTAGGCAAGAAAATAATAATTTTTGTAATATTTTAATCCTTTACATTTTTATCCATAATATATATATATATATATATATATATATATATATATATATATATATATATATATATATATATATATATATATATATATATATATATATATATATATAAATTTAAAAAAAATATATATATATATATATATATATATATATATATATATATCTCTCTCTCTTTCAAACTCTCTATCTTTTTTTTTTTTTTTTTTTTTTTTTTTTTTTATATATATATATATATATATATATATATATATATATATATATATATATATATATATATATATATATATATATATATATATATATATATATATATATATACTTAATAGCATATCTTTCCACTAATCTAAAATAATTCAAGCAATACAAATTAAAATAGAAAATCTTAAAATCAGCCAACATTTGCATCTTATATAGACATTTCTGCACATTTCTACAGCTAATGTGGGTTGATTTCAAGTAACGTTTCTTGTTGTAGTCACTGTTACCAACAGGATAAGTGTGAAGTGATAAAAGCAGAAGTGTTAGTTTAAGTGGAAAAATAAGACGCATTTAGCTTCCTCTTTTTTTCTTCTTTGGCTTGCTTGCTCAGCATCAAGGTTTAACTCAGACATGCAAAGAGTCAGCCAAAAGACCAGTATTTGAGGTTTTAGGTTCTTCAAAGTTGCATAATGTTCTCAAAAACACATTAAACTGATATACTAGAGGATAATACGTTTAATATATTTAAAAGTATTTTTTTCATGCAAAGCCACATTTCCAGCATCATTACTGCAGACTTCAGTGTCACGATCATTTAGAAATCATTATAATTATCATTCCAAAACATTTCCTATTATTCTCAGCCTTAAAAAAACAGTTATGGCATTTTTTTTGTGTAGTTTTTTCTGTGGAAACTGTCACTGTACTGCTGTTTGCAAGCAAGTATTAAAAAGATGTAAATAGAAATAACAATGAAATGTAATCAGTAATGATACATTAATCTTATAAACTGATATTAAAAACATTTGTAATAATAAAATACAAATTAAAAAAAAATCCTGAATAAAGTTTATTATGAAAAATATATAAAAACTGTTATTTATTCATTTTAACACTGATGATGATGACAATGATGATGATAATAATAATAATATATATTATTATCAAACTAGATATCTTTTAAAAATATATTTAAATAGAAAACAACACTAATAATACATTATACTTACATCAACACTGTATTTTTGATAAAAATAAACACACTTTTTAAGTAGTTTAAAACTAGATTACAAATATATTTTTTAACCCAACAGTTGTGTTTTTTCATATTTTAACAATATTATACTTATAAAATTATATAAAATTATATAAAATGCTGGGTTGTTTCAACACAATATTTGGTTAAAACTGTACAAACCCAATTTGAGTTACAAATGAATTAACCCTATAAATAGTATATATATATATATATATATATATATATATATATATATATATATATATATATATATATATATATATATATATATATATATATATATATATATATATATATATATATATATATATATATATATATATATATATATATATATATATATATATATATATAT